CCAGAAATCTTCATCGAAGAAGATTCACAAACATTTATCAAAAGAATCTCGGTGAAATCAACAAGTAAGTCGAAAAATATCTTCTTCTCGCATACAGAGCGTTGTTGAACAATGAATTCAAATACAAAAGATCAACTGAATTTTTTTCTTTGCAGAACCAAAGTTGGAGAAATGGAGACAAAATGGATCGACAATCTGTGGAGGAAATGGAAGAGGAGGCAAATCATATCAACTTTCAAGTCCTGAAGGAATATTTATCGACAAACATCGAAATATTTTCATTGCGGATTCGGGGAATCATCGAATTGTTCGATGGAAAAAAAATGAAAATCGAGGAACAATTGTGGCTGGTGGAAATGGAAAAGGAAATAGTTTGAATCAATTGAATCACCCAACAGATATGATTTTCGATGAAGAAACTAATTCACTCATCGTTGCTGATTATGGAAATCAAAGGGTAATGTGGTGGTTTTTGAACGAAGATCAACCGGAGATTTTCTTAAAAAAAATCGACTGTTGGCGATTAACAATGGATAAATTTAGATGTGTTTATATATCTGATGATATAGAACATGAAGTGAGAAGATGGAAAATGGAAGAAGACGGCAGAGGAAGAATATTCGCTGGTGGAAATGGAAGAGGAGATCAACTTCATCAGTTACAATTTCCAAATTTTATGTTTGTCGATGACGAACAATCGATTTATGTTTCAGATGTGGAAAACCATCGTGTAATGAAATGGAGAAAATACGCAGAGGAAGGAATTGTTGTTGCTGGTGGAAATGGAAGAGGAGACAATCTGAATCAATTGAATTGTCCTGAAGGAATCATTGTTGATCATGAGGGTCGAATTTATGTTGCAGATGGTGGGAATCATCGAATAATGCGATGGTGTGAAGGAGATGAAGAAGGTGAAATAATTGTTTGTGGAAATAGAAGAGGAAATGAACCCAATCAATTGTCTTATCCTCGCAGTTTATCATTTGATGATGAAGGAAATCTTTATGTTGGTGACAAGGAAAATGATCGAATTCAACGATTTGATTTGATCATTTGAAAAAAGAAAAATTTCATTTTTGTTTTCTTTCCAATAAAAAAAGGAAATTCGTTGGATTTTTCAAATGAATATTTTAGAGAAAATCAGTTGAAAACCAAATTCAACACAAAAGAGATTTCAAAGTTCATAAATGAAGAATTTCTTCATTTTGAAGAAAGAGTTTTCATGAGAAAAAGGAAATGATCGATTAATTTTTACCATTTTGAATTTTTTTGTTTTTCCTTTTCAATAAGTTCTTATGTTTTTCTTCGAGAATTTCTTGATAACAAAATTTCTTCAAAATCATCTCTTCAAATAAATTTTGTTTCACTTTGTGACAAAAAAAGATCAATAGAATTTGAGTTTCATTCTGAAATCAACTAAAATGAAATTAATTTCAACCAAAATTGCAATCAACATCGGAAATATTTGTTAAAGAAAATAATTTGCGAAGGTTTTTTACGAAAATTTACGATCAATTTATCAAAAACTAGAAAAAACAAAAGAAATCTTTTCTCAAAATTAGATCGATTTGGAACAGATGTCACTATAAAAGACACACAGGTTTATTTTTCATTATATTTTCTCATTTGTTCGTGAATCGCTATCTACTCGATGGAAAAAAAACCGATGACTAATTCATTGAAAAATTTCCCACGAATGTTGACATTTTTCTTCACTTTGACTTCAAATTTATCTTTAGAAATTCACATTTCACACTGATGGACAAAATGACAACGAATAAAACACAATGTTTTCTTTGTAAAAAACACAAATTCACCTATTCTTGTCGAGGTTGTTCAAATGAATTCTGTTTGGACGATTTAATGAAACATCGACAGGATTTGACTGGAGAATTCAACACGATTATCAACAATTATGATCAATTCAGAGAAAATCTTCAACAAAGAAAAACAAATCCACAATACTATTCTCTCTTCAAGCAAANATTCGAATCCACGACTTCGTGAAGGTTTCAATCTTCTCGGTTATTCTCAAGGTAGTATCATCGCTCGTGGTGCTGTTGAATGTTGTTCGTTGCCTGTCTATAATCTCATAACTCTAAGTGATATTCATCAAGGTGTTTTCGGTGTTCCTTATCTTCTGCAATTACCAATTGAACTTTGAGATTTACTAACAAAATACGCGTATGTAACGGCAATACAAAACGCGATTAGTCCAGCGAATTACTGGCGCGATCCTGAGCAATTAGATCGATACTATTCGAATTGTCATTATCTTTCTGATATCAATAATGAACGAGGTACTCCGAATGGAATCTATCGTGAAAATATCCTCAAATTAAATTCATTTGTCATGACTTATTCGAACATAGATGAAGTTGTTATGCCAAGACAATCCGGTTTATTTATGGGTTATATGAAAAATTCCTTAGAAATTGAAACATGGAATAATTCGAGACAATTCACCACAGCAGAGTAAAATCTAAACAAAAGATTCTACTTTATGTCGGAGAATTGATTGACCATGATAGAAAGTGAATGAGCTACGAACAAGGTGAATTGTATTCGGAATCATTAGAACAACAAGTGATGTGATTCGATTTGCTATAGTGTAACGTTCGGGAAAAAGAAAAGAAAACTTTTCAAAGAGTATGTTAAGAGTTTTTCGACTAAACGAAAGATCAGAAACATCTGGGTGAATCAGATAACCGTTATAACTATTTTAGTTGGTGATATGTTTCGATTGAAAATATTATTTGTTCATAATAAATATGTTTCTTTAGTCAATGTTAATTAGAGATCTATGTTTACACAAGAGAACTAGTGAGTCATATTCAATTGTCAAGAATCAATTGAATGTGAAGGCATAATTTCCCACAATTTTGAATCATTTCATTTTCTACTTATACTGATCCTTCTGTTTTTCAACTTTAATCGGGTTCTTGATAATTGAACAGTATGGAATGACATGTATATCATATGCTTTTATCATTCGTGCTATAATCGCACTTCAAAATAACGTGAATTCATCGGTTTTAAAAAACTTTATTTTTGTTACATGAATTTATGCATATTAGTTCAGAAAAAAATATTTTTTCCTTCAAATATCTTAATATAATTCAGCGGTGTTGATAGAACTGTTACCATTGTAATCACCAGCAACTAATATTTTTCTATTTGCAAGTATCGATGCAGTGTGTTGAGAACGTTCAATATTCATATTTGTAGTTGTTATCCAATTTCCAGCTGATAGATCATACAATTCAACACTGTTCAGATTAGTGTTAACATTCAGTTCACCAGTGACTAATATCCTTCCATTTGATAACATCGATGCTGTATGTCTATGTCGCCTAATATTCATATTTCCATTCATTGTCCAGTCGAAATAAAATTTCCAAATAAGACAAAAAATTTCACATGAAAAAACAAATTGAAGTTAATTAAAAATTCAAGCTGTTTGCAGATGTTTTATCATAATTTTCTCTATCGTGAAATGATTAAAATTTCGTCCAAATGGTATATACGCTGAATATCAAATTTACTTTCTTGATCTGTAATGTTTATCGATATAAATCATACACTTTCGCACTTATGAGATCATTTCCACTTTATTCACTTCCACGAGAAAATTGATTATTCGATCCTAAAGATAAAGTATACTTATGATGAAAATATCATCATAATAATCTAAAATTAACCTTGATTTCTTCGATGGCAAATAATACTCGTTTGAACATTTCCGGATGATGTTATTTTACTTGATTGGCAATCTTCGCTAAACACCAAACAAGTTCAATTATTATGATAATAAACATCTATTAGACATTGATCTTCATAATCACATTTCCAAATACAAGTTTGGATCGATGAATATGACTGATGAGAATACCATTGATTGTAGAGATAAGAAGAGAAATGAACAGCATTAGGTGCATTTTCATTCACGTTCATTTTAAGTGAAGAAAGGGAAAGCGATAAGAGTTTTACATATAAATATATTATCATTGGTTTTATTCTCTGAACTGGATGAAAAGTAAATAACAACACATAAGAATGAATTTATGGATATTCGACTATTTTTAACAATAAAATCAAACGGTATAGATTTTGCCGAATGAAAACCTTCCGTGTTGTTTGACTTTTTTTAACTGTCGTTCGTCAGTTTGATTTTTATTGACAAAGCATTGCATTTTTAGAAGGCTGTGAAAGGAAGAGTTATTATACATAAATCTCATGATCTCTAATAAGAAAAGAAAATAATCTGATCATCAAAACAAAACGAAGTTTTAGACGAAATGAATCTCAATCAATTGAAAAAGAATCGAATTCTAATCAACATTTAAGTTGATATCCATATTGTATATAAGAGAATATTTCTTACAATATGATCATAAAGAATGACTGATATTAAGGATGTCACAATACAAATACGGTATTGGAGTATTGGTATTGATGTTTTTATGGGAATTAAACAAAAGAAGCTGAATAAATTCGAAGAAATCATAGTGTTATGTGCTGGCCAGTATGACAAAAGATTCACAAGAAATGTTGATCAGTTGCAATGGTCAAAGAGCGCGCTACTTTACTTTAAATAAAGTATTGGTATTGTTACATCCCAATCCAACACGAATCTGCACGTTTGGAACACGAAAAATATGTGTAGGTCGATATATACTTATATTCACTCCTCTATCCTCACACGTTGCGTTAGGCCGCATTATCTCGTCCTTTCGTATGTATATATGCATGTGTAGAAAAAACATATATACAACGTGTAAATTATCTGTTAAATAACTAATGAACGATTAAATTATTTATTAATAACAAAATTTATTATCAATTATAAATGTCCTCTTACAATAAATATGCAACAATGACAAAAGAAATGAAAGACAAATTAGTTGAAGGGGAAGATTTTGTAAGAAGTGTTAAAGCATACAATTTACGAAGCAACCAACAAGCCAACGACCGAACACCCAAACGAAATTATCCTGGTGACCAGGGACTCACAGACTATGATGAACCAACTCTAATTAATGATGACATACCTAAACAAAAAAAGAAGATAATGCGTCGTATCAACGACGACAATAAAAGCGAAAACAACATCCTACCACCGAAGAACAATGATCAAAGCAGTACACACGACGACCAAGAGTGGCGACCTGTGAATAATACGAAGAACAAAAGAACGACTAACACATCGCGTACATTTATAAATGGCAACTTATCAGGAATGAATCATCAGATGAATCATCGAAACAGCAGCAGTTCGCATCATCAAAAGAATTATCACCACCTAAATGACACAAATAACAATAAGAACAATGATAACAATTCAAATTCTAATTCTAATTTAAATAAAAATCACGATCACACCTTATCATATAACACTCCTACTACAGAAGACTCAAATCAGTACCAAATTGAATCATCAACTACAAATCATGGAACTTCTCAATCTGAACAACAGAATATACGCGTATCTGAACACGCCCTTCGTTACGCAATCGAACAGCATCTTCCTCCATTGAAAATAGTTTGTGAACCAAAACTCACAGAATCAAATGAAGCAAAAAACTTACTCAAGGAACTATTCTCATCGATCAATAAGAAATTTATCGAAATCAATCCAAAATACACTAAGCCATTAGCTTTCGACTACTGGTTCATCGATCGAGATGGTAATCTGTCGTGTTTTACAAATAGTATCGAATTATTCGTCTTCCTATCTAATGGAGCAAACTATCCAAATCATCTTTCCAACATCAATATTAGAACAATACCACCTAAACGTCTACCACCTCAATGTTCAGTTATATTTAAGTTCGTTCCAAATGACATTACAACTGAAGAACTAGAAGAAGAGATTAAAACAAAATATCAATCAGCTTTTACAATTGTGGAAATGCGTGGTTCACGAACAAGTAGGAATCGTCATATACGACTGGACTTAATGGATCACAATGAATACATGCGGATACTCAATAGCGGAGTCTTTGCAATAGCTGGACAACTTATAGAAACTTCCGAATTCTTAGCTCCTCCTCGATTGTTAATATGCTCTAAATGCAATACACCTGGTCACATAAAGAAGAATTGCAAAATAAACTGCGATACATGTAGAAGATGTGGAGGTGATGGGGCTCAAGGTGATCATGTAACCTGTAATATTCAATGCCATCATTGTAAAGGAGAACATGAAGCAACATCGTTCAAATGTCCTTTAATAAACGAATTTAGATGTCAACTAATCGAGCAATTGAAAAAACGACCGGATCTTTTACCTTATAATGTACAATTATTCATACCTACTGAACTCAGAAATAGAAACGAAAAGAACAGTCGCATCTTAACAAACAACGCAGCAAATAGTCAATCTCAACGTTCACACCCATCAAAGCAGACTTATTCCTATCATGATAACAACTGGCCTCAATTACCTGGTGACATGAGAAATACAACTGTTTCACAAATGAAATGGACTCCTCTTCCTACGGATTCTAACACCCTATGGAATGAAATGATGAAAACACNTCTAGCTCGAACAGTAAACCGGGCTAGACGTGCGTATCGAAAAGCTCGTACAGTACTTCATCTGCAACGATTTCTTTTACTAAAAGAACATTTCATCTTAGAAAGAACTAGCTATCAACAATCACTTAGAGATGCAAAGATGATATGGCTTGGTGAAAGCAATAACATATGGAAATATGTCAAACCAGTTTTTAGACCATATGCACCTGCCTTCAGAGGTCTTTCGGTAAATAACGTGAAAATAACTGACCCACAGAAAGTCGTGGACATACTCGCCGACTATTACGAAAAACATTTTGCTGAACCAGAATATGATCCATCAAATCAAATACACCAGAGATCAATATCAATTTTTGATAGCTTGGCTTACATGCCTTCTATTCCTCTTGAACAAATAAAATATGAAGAAATTGTGCGAGAATGGAAGAAGTTTCTACCAAAAAAATCGACGGATAGCGCAGGAACATCGGCTTTCATGTTGAAAAAATTACCAATCGAATATCTAAACATTTTAAGCGTACTATTCAATAAATGCGCATCCAGAGGGGAATTTTTTGCAGCAGGAAAAATTGCCAAAGTTGTGTGTTTATCAAAAGATGGAATGTACCCGAATGAAAACAAACTAAGACCGATCTCCCTATTACCGAATATTGGTAAATTATTTGAACGTATAATCCATCATAGAATTTTATCCTGGTGCAATGATCACAATATTGCAGTAGATGAACAGAGTGGCTTTATGCAGGGAAGGCGCCTACAAACAAGAATTCTGTCGCTGGTTGAGAACCTTAGGCTCACGGTAGCAGCTTGCAATAGACCAGCACTTACAATATTTGTTGATTTTCTTTCCGCATTCGACCGTATGTGGTTCCCTGCTCTGATAACTAATTTGAATGAACTTGGAATGCCACTTTCTCTTTTAAAATGGATTCAGTCATGGTTGTTGAACAGATCATTCTCAATCTCATTTGGTAACGTACACTCAAGAAATATTAAAATGCATGTTGGTGCTCCTCAAGGTTCTATATTAGCTGCCACGTTGTTTCGATTGCACGTTCACTTTCTTCCATCATTCTTCTTCGGTTTATCTGTTCATATGTTCGCNACTAATTTGAATGAACTTGGAATGCCACTTTCTCTTTTAAAATGGATTCAGTCATGGTTGTTGAACAGATCATTCTCAATCTCATTTGGTAACGTACACTCAAGAAATATTAAAATGCATGTTGGTGCTCCTCAAGGTTCTATATTAGCTGCCACGTTGTTTCGATTGCACGTTCACTTTCTTCCATCATTCTTCTTCGGTTTATCTGTTCATATGTTCGCAGATGACCTCGCGATTGTCCTAACGGGGTCTCTTGAAAAACGCCTCTCTCTTAACATAAGTGATCTCGAAATGCGTGCAAAAGACGTCATGAGACAACTGGAAATTTTCTCAACCAATTCACTTCTACCAGTAAATACAAACAAAACAAAAGCACTCTTAGTACACAGCGCAGTATCACCTAGCTACCCAAAAATCAATTACAAACAACAAAGCATCGAATACGTCAATTGTTTCAGATATCTTGGCGTTTACATAACCACCAAACTAGGATGGGGTTTATTTATTAATCATAGAATACGAACGATAAGAAAAATCTACAAAGCAATGCGAATAATATTACGCACAATACCGATCAATCTCACTTCAACGCGTCGAAAAATATTTCTTGCGTTTGTACTGCCTCATTTTTGTTGGCTTTTCTGCGCTTGGTTTTACTTTACTGAAAACCAAAAAAGAATGATAGAACACGTTTTCTGCTCTGGTTTACGAATTCTCTACGCGTTGAATCGATGGGATGATTTATCAACATTAATAATATCTAGAGAAAAGAGTCTTCGTGATTATATATATTCGTATTGGTATCGATTCGCTCTACACATAGAAAAAACGCCTGATGCTCTCGATTTTCAACAGTCACGGCAAGCTTTTCAAACAATCAAATCGAACAATAAAGACTGGTATAAAACCATGGGGTTTCGAAAAAATAGCTTTTTTCCACGACGATTAATAGAACGTGCGCAACACTCGCTTCACGACTGGAACCAGTTCAAAAATGCGCACAAAGATCAATTTCTATTTTATAAAGAAAACACACTGTACCTGAATTGGTTCATTTATAAATATTTTCTTGAACCGGGATAATCATGATTCCTTGAATCGACAAACAAATGAATTCCGGTGGTGTCGAAGATGCAAGTGACGTAACTCACTGAATTATCGTCGTTGTGATCATCGTACGACGGTAATCAAATTCATCATGTGCTGATGGAACAGATAATCGATGTGGTGATCAGTGTAAATACATATGTATAGCGAATAAAAATCAATAAATCTAAAAATAAATCTAATTTTATTAATAAACGAATACCGATCGCATCACTTCTTTAAATGAAATCTCTTTAAATTCATACCTTCTACACTGAACACTGGATTGGTCGGGCCCTGAGTCAAATCGAATCTATCCAAAGGAAAAAAAAAACAAAAAAAAACGAGTACATATATCTGATTATACATAAGCGTTCCTCTTTCATTTACTAATAGATGTCTATAGTGTACATTCTACTCTTATTACATGTTCATTCTTTTTCCTCTTATATCATAGATAACATATGTATATTATACCACATACGCATTCTTCCTCACTTCTCTCTTTAGGAATCACGTGTGAAAATAATAAGATGTACAAAATTTTCTTACTTTCTTCTTCTGCCTTTTATTTCTTCTTGTGAACCTAAAATGGCACAATAAATTGAATATAAAAAAAAAATATGCAATTTTGAAATCCGAAACTACCCTCAAGTTGTTGGAGCTTATTAATCACCATTTCAATGCCCATTTATCCCATAACACAAACTCCAAAAGACCTTCGTCATCGAATGAATCGCCATATGATAACAAAAAAATCAACAATCATATAACAAACCCAAATTCAGATGCTGATCAATATCGAACAATCGTTCAACAAATAATCACATCTGATCCTAATCATATCGGATACATTTACTCATGCGTTACAGGTGATCACAATACAAATCTTTTATTCTTTAATATTGCTGGTAATTTCCGATTTTGTCCAAGAAAGGGTGATCATCATAAACGAAATTCTATTACAATAATAAT